TACAAAAGCTCACCCAGCCCTATGATATCCCACACCTGCTTCAGGTTCCGATTCATCTTCGAGAACAGCCGGGGGACGTCAGGTGGGCAACTTATCGTGCAGTTATATGCGTGCAACACCTGGGAGCAACGACGCAGGCTGGACATTATCAGACGGTGATGCTCAGCAGTCAGGGGTCATGGATCACAGACGACGCGGCCCAAGCTCAGCCATTGTACCAATCGCAGATACAACAATTACAATGTAACATGTACGTGGTCGGTTGTGTGCGTGACTGATCCATATTTTCACACATACAGTGCTGGTGCGGGCCTCGGGGCAGCAAAAAGATGGATCGTATACTGCCGCTGGCGATACACGTGCATTCATAGCCACTTACGCTTCACACTCTGGCTTTTCTGGATGGTGGTTGTTATGTGGCTGTTCACGGTGCAGGAGCCCTGCAGCAACTGAGTGCACTTAACGACTGCGGCTCTGATACAACTCATCGGCTCTGAGCGCGCTTGGCAGTTCAATCAGACCTCACTGTATAGTAGTGATTTTGCCCATCTGACACTTCGTCTTTTTCCTCAATTTCCCCAATTGTTTGGCTCTTTGCCATCATTTACGATTTCCGCTTCAGTTCTTGCTGTCAGCATCCTCTTTGTGGGCTGCGGCCTGGGGGTGTTGATGCTAGCTTAGTCGTTAGTTCGCTTCGGCTGCCGTCATTGAACGGCCATTGTTTCCCAACAATGTAGCTCGTGTCACTAGCTCGGGATTCCCCCTGCTGTGGAGAAAGAAGCGGCCATTGAGAAGGAGCTGAGGAAGAGGGCACAAGCATTTCCTGGGAGAGATGAAGGCTCCAGACCAGTCGTCCGTGAAAGGGGCGAGCATGGCAGTTCATCGTCAAGGGCAGCCATTCGTGAAGTCGAGGAAGAGGTCCAGGAAATGAGAGAGGTGCGTCCGGCACCTTCTTTGACAGCATGGAGTACAACCTCGTCAGCTCCCATGCGTGCCCGACCGGATGCTTGGTTACAACCGCCAACAACCCCGAGTTCACAGGAGCTGGATGATCCAGAGGCTGTGACTGGTGAGGCCAAGCGGGCAATCATCGATACGATCCTGCTGATGAAGGTTGAGGACATTCGAGAAGGGCTTCGCATGCATGGGCTTCAGTTGAGTGGGCTGAAGCAAGACTTGGCTGCAAGATTAGCTGATGTGCTGGTGGAGCAGATTGGAACGACTATGGGTCCAACACTACGCCAGTATCGCTACCTCTTGTGGCTGTGGAGGCAGAAGGATTTACATGGAAAGGTGCTGCTAAAGTGGGCCAATTTGAGCTCCAGACACGAGGCGTCGAGGACGATCCACAACTGGAAGTCTATTTGAAGAAAGAAAGGCAACGCCTGGCTTTCGCAAGCCTTGAGGAGGAGTGCAAAAGACCCTCTTCCAGGTGATCCACATCGACACCTCCGTTTGGCGGCAACTTTCGGCACAAGGGAGGGCTGCGGTTGAAACCCCTTGGGCCAGAACCAGCAGACGTTCGAACACAAAGGTTCACACACGAAAGGCAACAGCTGACGACAATCTCTTTTTGTACATGCACAGTCAGCAGACTTTCGTAGAGCCAAAAATCTTTCGAAGAGACAGCTTGTGTGTTAAAAGAAATCAGAGCTCCGCAATTCGGTGTTTGCAGCCATGGATTCCGCTGCATCAGATGCCACTCGAAGGCATCAACAAAACCCTAAACCCTAAACCCTAAACCCTAAACCCTCAACCCTCAACCCTCAACCCTCAACCCTAAACCCTAAACCCTAAACCCTAAACCCTAAACCCTAAACCCTAAACCCTAAACCCTAAACCCTAACACCAAAACCCTAAACCCTAAACCCTAAACCCTAAACCCTAAACCCTAAACCCTAAACCCTAAACCCTAAACCCTAAACCCTAAACCCTAAACCCTAAACCCTAAACCCTAAACCCTAAACCCTAAACCCTAAACCCTAACCCTAAACCCTAAACCCTAAAACCCCCCAAACCCGAAACAAGAAAACCCCTAAACCCTAAAAGCCCCTAAACCCTAAACCCTAAAACCCCCTGAACCCTAAACTCCTAAACCCTAAACCCTAAACCCTAAAACCCCTAAACCCTAAACCCTAAACCTCCGTCCAAGCCAGTCATCGTAGGAGCATCTTGTTGCCCCCCCTGCAACTCGCCAGATTCGGTAGGCTCCACCAACGGTGCACCTCGCGAAGCCATAGACTCGCCATGCCCTGCTTCGGATCCAGGAATCATCTCCCTCAGCAGGTCACCTCTGTAGTCTGCAGCCACTCCAGATTCATCAGCTGAGCCCCTTATTGAAGGCTCTGGTCGGTGTTCAGGTCCTGCTTGAACACCATTCACCACCGGCGCAGTAGTCTCAGCTTGGGCGGTCATAACCTGTTGATGCCTTCGAGTGGCATCTGATGCAGCGGAATCCATGGCTGCAAACACCGAATTGCGGAGCTCTGATTTCTTTTAACACACAAGCTGTCTCTTCGAAAGATCTTTGGCTCTACGAAAGTCTGCTGACTGTGCATGTACAAAAAGAGATTGTCGTCAGCTGTTGCCTTTCGTGTGTGAACCTTTGTGTTCGAACGTCTGCTGGTTCTGGCCCAAGGGGTTTCAACCGCAGCCCTCCCTTGAGTTGCCGCCAAACGGAGGTGTCGATGTGGATCACCTGGAAGAGGGTCTTTTGCAGGTTTAGGGTTTAGGGTTTAGGGTTTAGGGTTTAGGGGGTTTAGGGTTTAGGGTTTAGGGTTTAGGGTTTAGGGTTTAGGGTTTAGGGTTTAGGGTTTAGGGTTTAGGGTTTAGGGTTAGGGTTTAGGGTTTAGGGTTTAGGGTTTAGGGTTTAGGGTTCCCCAAACCATCATTCAACCAGCAGGCATGTGCAGTGTACAGGGTTAAGCCTGAGAAGCAAGAAGCCAAGCTCCCATCCGGTCGCTTGGCTCAAGACGGCATCGACCAGCAGATTGTGAAAAGGATGCGAGCACCACTGTGATTCCGATCACAGTGGTAGCGGAGCCTTAAGGTTCGGGGACCTTGCTTGGTGTTTGGGTACCTGTAAGGTGTGAGCCTTTGTTTCGCTGCGCAGCCCGACAGTCACGCTGATCATGGATGCCGATGGACCGCAGGTCCCAGATGACGATGATGATCTTCAGGAACCAGATGGAGCCCATGGCCCGAATGCGGCCGGAGCCTATGGTCCCGCTGAGGATCCATGGGGTCAATACCGTGCTGCTTCCTCTCCGCCACCGGGATTCACTCCGAGTCAAGGCGAACGAGGAGGCCCCCGGGACGGCATGACCGACGAGGAGATGGCATGGTTCGAAGTGTTTGTTCGGAATCGAGAAGAACAACGTCGACGAGCCCGACGCCGGATACAGGAAGAAGAAGACGACGAAGACGATGGTCCGGCTCAAGCACGAGGCAATGCAGGCCCCCCGCCATCATGGGATGGCCAGACTCCCTTCAAGGACTACCTGATACGAGCCCGACTGTGGTTGGCCACGACAAAGGTTCGACCTCGAGCCCGTGGACCGATGCTCTTGAAGAACTTGTCAGGGTGCCCCTTCGATGACCTGAAGTACCTGGCCCAAGACACGTCGTGGATGGAGGATCCCAAGAACGGCGAAAAGCTCCTGGAGAAGATGGACACCAAGGAGCTTTATGGAGATGATGCTCGCGAAGACATGCTACAAAGCTTGGTCCGGATCACCTACACGCTTCGCCGGCAGAAAGGTGAGACCCATCGCAGCTTCTTCGCCAAATGTGGGACAACGCCGTGAGGAAGCTTGACGAGCACAAGGTCAAGCTCCCACCGGACTACCTCGGCTTCCTCCTCACGATGAGTCTTCAGCTCACCCAGGAAGAGGTCAAGCTCCTCCTGAACTACACACAGGGAAGCTTGACTGCCAAGGCGGTGAAGGAATGGGTCCGGGTGCATGAGACCGACCTCGACATCAAATCCGGCCTGAAGAAGACGAACGCGGTGATGCACCTTGATGGCATGGAGGCCGGCGAGTACGGTGGCCAGGACGAAGACGGCGAGGTCGATGAAGGCCTCGAGGTGCTCCTGAATGCCATGGACGAGCTCGAAGGCCACCATACCGGCGACGATGAGGGGATCGACTTCGACGGCGAGGCTTTCGACGAGATCGACACCAAGGAGATCCTGGCGACCATGATCAAGGATCACGCGAAGGGTGGCTTCCGCAGGACCTTCAAGGCCGTGGCTGACGCGAAGAAGGCCAAGCACTTGGCACGAGGCTATGCTGCTGGACGCGATGGAAATGGAAGGTTCAGTCGTGGACCTGGTGAAGCTGTGAGGACCGGCGGCACCTACCGCATCTCCATCGAGCAGCTGAAGAAGCGGACGAAGTGTGCCAAGTGCGGCAAGGTGGGCCACTGGCATCGTGAATGTCCTGAGAAATCAGGAAACCGCGAGAAGGAGAGCCACTTCCTCGACTGCGACGAGGCCCATTTTGTGCACCAGCTCGACCTGATCGCCTTTCGCAAGATGCAGAATGAGAAGATGAACCAGGAGAAGGGCCCAACAGCGGTCTACTCGGGAGCTCCGGAGGCGAAGATGGATCGAGCATATATGTGTGCAGGTGCCAGTTCCCCCTTTGAAGTTTGGTACCTGAACCAACAGACACCCCTAATTGACGAAGATTATTGTGCCACCGTTGATACTGGTTGTCAGAGAACAGCGATTGGTAGTTCCACTTTACAGAAGATCTTAGCCAAGCAACCAGGGGAACTTCAAGCCAGCTATGTGAATCAGGAGCACTTGTTTCGATCAGTCAACGGTCTGTCCAAAACCGAGAAGGTGGCCTGTCTACCCACCAGCCTTGGTCAGCATGGATGCATTCTTCGTCCAGCAGTGTTTGAGCAGGGTGTCAGTGCCAGGGCCCCATTCCTTCTCTCACTTCCCTTTCTTCTACATTGTCGGGCTACTCTAGTTCTTGATCCAGAACAAGGTTTGAGATTGCGGTTGCGAAGGTTTGGCTTTGAGGTCCCTATGCACATTGGTCCGACAGGAGCCCTCCGAGTACCGCTAGATCAGTTTGACAATCTCATGATAGGCAAGCTTAAGAATGCCCTCAAGCAAATAGGAGGCGAGCAGCTTCAAGCCAGTGACGTCGTGCAGCCAGCCGAACTTCATGAAATGGAATCATGTTCGAGCTCAAGTCCTGACCGCGCCAACGGTTTGACCTTTGGTCCCTCGGTTCCCAGTGCAGACCATGGAAGGCCGGCCGATCAAGCGAACTCGAGGCAACCTTCGGACGCAACAGGAGATCGAGTACCACTGGCGAAGATTCACCCTCCGGATGCTTGTGGTCGTGGCGAGCTCCATCCAGACCAACGTGATGCGGTTTCTTGGTCTTCGAGGTCCGGAGAGCCACCTCAAGGACCAGGTGCTGAACATGATCCACACGGCGGCGACACCGGAGCTCGAGGGCATTGCTGCGATGGTGGAAGAGGCGATCCGGACCAGAGACCACGAGCAGGTGGAAGAATGGGACCTGGTGTCTCCGAGGGAGCCAGTCAGGGTTCCAGCTGGACCTCTGGCGGATCGAGCCGTCACTCCGGACTACTACGAGGAGACCGAAGAGGGTGTGGACATGTTCGACGACCCGATCGTGAAGATCTGCCACTGCAACATCCCCGTGGTGGTCCTCCGAATGCGGAAGGGGAATCACAATCACGACCGGCTGTTCTACCGCTGCCCGAAGTGGACGGCTCCAGCCAAGCGATGTGCCTTCTTCCAATGGCTACCGGACCACCTTCAAGATCGTTGGAAGGCAGCTCGGGATCTGTGGCAAGTTCAGCGACCAGGAGCGACCTGTCAAGTCGTCGAGGCCCAGCATCTCCCCCCTTCTCGCCGACGACGACACCGAGCCCGAACAACGACCTCGAGGACCAGGAGTGCAAGCACCTGCAGATTGTCGGGACGGGGAGCAACGCATGGGTCAAGCAGACCAAGTGCCGCCAGTGCGGGAAGATTCTGTCTCGCAGCATCACGGAGGAGGGCAAGGCGTACTATGCGAGGCGAGGCCTGGTTCCACCGACTCCGAAGACTCTGAGTCAAGCTGCCAGCAGCAAGAACCCGCCGACGCCAAAGCCAACGGCGGCTGCCAAGACACCGGGACGAAGCCCGGGAACACCGATACCTGCGCTGATCACGCAGGCGGCCATGACACCCAAGGCAGCTGCGCTGGCCCCCACGTTCTCGGACCAGGACCTCCAGGACTATCAAGACTTTCTCCGGTTCAAGGCCATGCAGAAGCAGGCCAACACGGCCAGTTCGAGCCAGCCCAGCAATCAACGCTAGGCGAATCAATTCGACCTCTGAAGGCGGCCACTCAGCGACAGATCGTGGCGACCCTTCGAAAGAGGGAATTGCTCTGGCAGGATGTATCTCCCTGCCTTCTTCATGGAGCCAACGAGATCTCGAAGTTGGAGCAAAAGTACCACATCGAGGGTTCCAAGGGTCTAGATCAGTCCAAGGTGAAGCAGTATAGCGAGCTGTTCAACCTTAGCATCAAGGAAATGAATGAGGTCTTCGGTCGGGGTCGAGTTCACAAGACGGATAGCGGTGTTCAGGTTCGGAAAGCCATTGCAGCGGAACTTGTACTAGATTCTACCATGCTCCGTTCGAAAGCACAGCAGTCCGTCATGATGCAGATCCGGCATGAGCGACCTGGTTTGGTGATGTTGAAGTTTGCCCGGCCGGTCAAGTCTCAGCATGGCAGGTTAGATGCTCTTCAGAAGAACAAGATCCATGAACTTAGAGAACATCTTCAGCGACAAAGAGAAGATCGAGAACTGTTTAGGTTCGCTGTTGTAGTTGCCAACACCTGCCACCAAATGGGAAGCAGCTTCCTTCTGCCGCTGCTGCTGTGCGCCGGTGGTGCCTGGCGGCCATGTGGTTTCCAGAAGTTGACGGCTGCGGACGACATCTTCACCTACCAGGACAGTCGAGGATGGCGAGGAAGTTTCGTGACGAACAACCCGGCCATCTTCCAGGTCAAGAATTCGAATCAACGAAGTGCATCCGATGATCCCGCGAGTCTTGGACAGGTCCTCGGCTCCTATGCCAAGGGCGCTCACCTGGCCACCACCGACCTCCAGTACATGAACCTGAACGACGCCGTGACCGAGGACCAGGTGAAGGACTACAACTACTTCGGGCCGGAGGAGAACAACGACTGGGCTAACTACGACGAGCAGGAGAAGATCACGATAGAGAATGCCCAGGAGATCCTCGCCGAGGAGGTCGAGACGATTGATGGGCCCGAACCCAAGGACTTCGGCATCACCGACGACATGATCAACAAGGAGGGTGACTACGAGCTTCGACCCGGCGAATGGGTCCAGGTCCGACATCGGGCCGACCGACTGGCACGTCCCGGAGAAGATGCAGCCTATCCAAACTACCCATGGAGAAGTTCGTGGACAAGGACAGGAAACGGCGTATGGCGACAAGAGGAAGACGAAGTACGATGGGAGGAGCTACATCGACCTGATCGAGACCTACCAGAAACGGCCGAGATTCTGGTGACGATCTTCAAGCAACGAATTGACGCAAGGGCCGGGGCCCGATTGAGGAGATTCCCGGGGATGCAGAAAATCACACTGGAGAAAATGGTCCGGCGAGCTCATGAAGGGCTAGGCCATCCCGAGCTGCAGAGATTTCTCCGTATTTTGCGACACAGTGGTGCTGATCCAGAAGTGGTGGAGATCGCCAAGAAGATGAGATGCTCCGTCTGTGAAGCTTACCGACTCCCCGATCCAGCGAGAAGGTCAGCCCCTCCGAGAGAGGAGTTCTTTGTGAATGACCTCGTCGGGGCGGACACGGTACACCTTCGTGATCACAAGCGGAGGAACATCCCGGCCCTCAACATCATAGACTGGCATACGCACTTCCAGCTGGTGATCCCCATGGCGGCAGAGACGGCCCAGGAGGCCCGCAAGGCCTATCGACAGTGGGTCAGGTTTTTCGGACCTCCTCGCAAAGTACTGGTGGATCTTGGCCAAGAGTTCAAGGCAGAGTTCAAGCTGGCATTAGAAAACGATGGATCGGAGGCCTTGCCATCATCACTTGAGACCCCGACTCAACGAGGCCTCACGGAACGGGCTGGAGGAGTCTTCAAGAATATCCTCTACAAGGCCATGATGGACCATGAGTGTTCCACCAACGAGGAATGGAGAGAGCTTGTCGACGTCACCTGCATGATGAAGAACCGCCTACTACTTCGAGCTGGGTATTCGCCTATTCAACGAGTCATCGGCTACAATCCTCGACTACCCGGCGGTCTTCTCAGCGGAGGACAGCAGGATGAGGCGGTGGCCTCGAAGTTTGCTGTCGGAGACCGCGATGTGGCACGAGCCATCAAGATGAGGAAGGCAGCGGCCATGGCCTTCCACGAAGCCGACTGCGACCAGGCCCTAAGGGCTCTTGGAGGTCGACGGAAACATCATGAGTTCGAAGTAGGTCAAGCGGTCTACTTCTGGAGGCGGGGCTCAGGAAGCGTCAAGAACGAGAGGAACTCCTACTGGCAAGGACCGGGCCGAGTTCTGATGACATCGCTTCCTAATGCTGTATGGATAGCATTCAATGGAGCTATCGTGAAGGCCGCTCCTGAACGTGTTCGAGTGGCCACTGAAGAGGAGTCGTTGTCGGTTTCCGGCTGGATGGATGGCATTACCCACGCCCGCCAGGCCTTCGAGAAGAAACCGAACCGCAACTTTCTGGACCTCACCAAGGACCTGGACCCGATTGAGGAAGACGAGGCGGAGCCAGAGGAGATTGAAGCTGGAGAACCACCTTTAAGGCGAGTCCGGCAAAAGACCTCTGACTATGCCCGATATCAACCACCTCCAGCAAATCAGGAGCTGGCGACGGAGGAAACCGAGCTCCCGACGATGTCACGACCGCCAGGGATACCTGATGGTGATCTACCAGGAGTCCCAGCACCTTCGGAAGCCCCAGAAATACCTCTTGAAGATCGATCCGGACCCGCCAAACGAGACGGAACAGAGCTGGATGAACCTCCACCAGGCAAGCGGTCAAGATTGGAGTGGCTGGAGATCTATAACATGACGCTTCAGGCCTTGGCGAAGCAGCGCCAGAAGAAGGAGGTGACGATCAAGGACTTCGTAGGCCCCGACATCAAGAAGCTCGAGCGGGCCATGCTCAAGGAGATCAACAACAACCTGACCACAGGGGCGTACGAGTTTCTGGACCGGAAACTATCAAGGGAAATCTTGGCTACCAAGCCGGATAAGGTCATGGAGTCCCGATATGTGTTGACCAAGAAGCCCCTGGAACCCAGTGATGTTCCAGCAGCACTGGCAGATGGTCTTCTACTTGAAGGTGATTCAGAACTCGGACCTTGCAAGGCCAAATGTCGACACGTGATGAAGGGGTACTCCGAGGAAGCAGCGCTGGACGTGGAAAGCACTACACCTCAGGTATCCAGAGACTCGGTGATCTTTGTCACCCAGGTCTTGGCGAGCATGGGCTGGGATCCGGGCTTCCTGGACTTCACCCAAGCCTTCCACTCCGGAGATCCGATCAAAAGAGAGCTATATTGCAAACAGCCGAAGGAGGGCATTCCGGGAGCCCATCCGGAACAACTCATTCGGCTCCTCAAGACGTGCTACGGTCTCACCGACGGCCCCTTTGCCTGGTACTCTCACCTGGCGAAGAGACTACAGGAGAAGTATGGATATAAGCAGAGCAAGGCGGATCCATGCGTCTTTCTTCTACATGCTGGCGGACGGCATGGAAGCGGAAATCTCAGAGGAATCATTGGTGTGGCAACCGATGACCTACTTCATGGCGGAGATCAACAACACTGGGAGAACATCGCGGACATCGCCCGGGAGTATAAGTTGGGCAAGAACCAGAAGGGGTGCGGTCGATTCACCGGGAAGGATGTACGTAAGGAAGAGGACGGCTCAATCACGCTCAACCAGGCCTTCTACGTCGACACCAAGGTGATTCAGATTCCACTTACTAAGAAGCGGAAGCAGCAGAGATATGCCAAATGCGATGACAAGGAGATCGAGCAACTCCGAAGTCAACTTGGAGCCCTTTCATGGTTGGCAAAGGAAACCAGGTGCGATCTTGCAGGCCGTGTTGCACTACTTCAGCAGGCCTTTCCAACCCCGAAGGTCATGGATCTGATAGAGGGTAACAAGATTGCCGCCGAAGCCAAGAAGTATAAGCACCTCGGAATCAAGGTCACGCCGATCCCCTGGAAGGAGCTTCGAGTCTCAGTTGTGACTGATGCAGCCTGGGGGAATGCCAAGGACAGCATCTGACTAGAGCACTCGGAGACGGACTTCTGGGAAGAACATGAGGATCGGTGGATTCGACATCACTTGGAACCTCGACGAACCAGTTTTCATCCGGGAGCGGCGGTCGGTGGCCCAGATCTACATGAGATTATCGCCCACCGCAGGACCGAGTACACTGTGGTTCACGACGATGGCCAACGACAAGCTTGCACCGAACAAGATAGCTGGTGCACCGCCAATGGCATCCGGGTACTAAGTGATCAAATGTGGACTGGCAAAAGCATCTTCTACAAGGCCATGAAGGAAGAGGAACAGGTGCCAGCGACCAAGATCAACTCCAGTTTGCGCCAGCTCCAAAACCTCAGCAGCCAGGGAGGCCAGATCGTGATCTACCACAGCCAAGCCTTGGCCGATTCGAGCGAATCTGCCCCAGTCACCCTAGCTGCGTGGAAGAGCTTCCGGCTCAAACGGAAAACCGTCGACACCCTGGCCGCCGAAGGACAAGCCTTACAGTCAGGAATTGGTTCAGTCCACTGGCATCGGCTGATGTTTCTAGAGACCTTCTACGGGATGATGGATACAAAAAGCTGGCGATCCGAATCCGCCAAACTTCCCTTCATCGCGGCCGTAGACTCCAAAAGTCTCTACGATGCAGCCAACAAGTGTGCCAGCACGACCGCCTTCGTAAGTGACAAAAGAACTGCTATAGATTTGGCAGTCATCAAGGCCGACCTCATCGAGACTTCAGGCAAAATCAGATGGATCGACACAAGAGCGATGTTGGCCGATCCACTGACCAAGCAACACCCAGGACATTATTTGCGGTATGTCATGGAAAAGGGAGAATGGTCCATTGTCGAAGAGGGTGTAGCATTGCAACGGAAGGCTCTCGAACGAGAGAACAAAGTTCCGAACCCGATCATGTTTATGATGGTTTGGGAAAAGAGATTGTGACCGGTGTGTATAGCTTATCGGTTCCCCAAACCATCATTCAACCAGCAGGCATGTGCAGTGTACAGGGTTAAGCCTGAGAAGCAAGAAGCCAAGCTCCCATCCGGTCGCTTGGCTCAAGACGGCATCGACCAGCAGATTGTGAAAAGGATGCGAGCACCACTGTGACTCCGATCACATTAGGGTTTAGGGTTTAGGGTTTCGGGTTTAGGGTTTAGGGTTTAGGGTTTAGGGTTTAGGGTTTAGGGTTTAGGGTTTAGGGTTTAGGGCGTCTCGCCGCGCAGCGGCAGTAAATACCATGTGTAAATGGCGCCCCTACACACCCAGGGGGTGTGGGGGGGCGGCATGTCACGCGAAGGCATCTGTTTTCAATGTAATCCAACAATTTCATTGGTGCTGGGTTCTGTCTCCCCACCCGCTGTGAGCTTTCACAGGCCACCACCCAAACCACTACCTTTTAGGGTTTAGGGCTGTCGCCCTCAATTCCCACCATGAAAACAAACCAAAACATTTTTGTGCAGACAAAGGACGAAGCGCCGCCAGGGGGGGGGGGGGGGGGGGGCCAGGGGGGGGCCAGGGGGGAGGAGGGGGCCAGTCAGGCGGCGGAGGGAAATGCAGAATTGGATGGGTCAGAAGGGGGTTAGGGGGGGGCCAGAGAGGGGTCAGGGGGGGCCAGGGGGCGGCCAGGGGGAGGCCAGGGGGGGGCCGGGGGGGGTTAGGGGGGGGCCAGGAGGGGGGCGGCGGTTTTTGGCTCCGCGGATTTTCGGGCCAACGACCAGAGGGTCCCGGGAAGGTTCCTAGGGGGGGCCCCCTGGGCGGGCTTGCACCGTTGGGTTTGGAATGTTCCCATCAAGGGGAATATCGGAGAAATCCTGTGTGAGGCGCCACCTTGGTGGCCTAGTGGCGAGGCGAGCCCTAGGGGCTCTCTATTCGACCACTCTCCAATGGCTCCACCCATTGTCCATCCTGTAAAGGTGTCCATCACTGGCGGGTATCTTCTGGGTCCAGGCACCCTTGTAAAGGGTGGGTACGGCCTAAGCAGGCCGGGTGGGAATTTAGGGTTTAGGGTTTAGGGTTTAGGGTTTAGGGTTTAGGGTTTAGGGTTTAGGGTTTAGGGTTTAGGGTTTAGGGTTTAGGGTTTAGGGTTTAGGGTTTAGGGTTTAGGGTTCAGCACTCAGGGTCGAGCAGCTTTATGGTTAAGCTGTATTTACGGCTCGGACATTGAGAAAGCCAAAAACGGCCAAATTCTGAAAATAAAGCGGCCAAATTCTGAAAATACAGCGGCCAAATTCTGAAAAGAAAGCGGCCGGCCAAATTCTGAAAATAAAACTGGCCAAATTCTGAAAATAAAGCGGCAAAAAATTCTGAAAATAAAGCGGCCAAATTCTGAAAATAAAGCGGCCAAATTCTGAAAATAAAGCGGCCAAATTCTGAAAATAAAGCGGCCAAATTCTGAAAATAAAGCGGCCAAATTCTGAAAATAAAGCGGCCAAATTCTGAAATTCAATTAGCCTTTGGCCTGATTTTGGCTCATTCTGAAAATAAAGCGGCCAAATTCTGAAAATAAAGCGGCCAAATTCTGAAAATAAAGCGGCCAAATTCTGAAAATAAAGCGGCCAAATTTTGAAAATACAATTAAGGTTTAAATATATATGGTAGAGAGGGTTTAGGGTTTAGGGTTTAGGGTTTAGGGTTTAGGGTTTAGGGTTTAGGGTTTAGGGTTTAGGGTTTAGGGTTTAGGGTTTAGGGTTTAGGGCTTGTCGATTTAACATGCGTAGTGTATGGAAAGAGAGACGGACGTCCGAAACCTTCAGCGCAAAAGAGTTCCGTCATGTACATGGAGCTCTACTTTCTCCCACCCCAGGATGCCACCCAAAGCATCTGTAGGACGCTTAAGTTCTTAAGTGCGCTAATATTGATAATAGTGTCTGGTAAAGAGATTATAGAAAATGTGAGAAACAAAAGACCATGCACTTACACAGTAAATGGCTGTAATTATGTTCCATAATTACCATTTACTTCTAGGTAAGACTAGAAAGTCGGCTTGCTAAGGCCTTTGGGTGGCTTAGGGGGGCTTACCCCCTCCTGTGGGGTACTCCACACAGAAAAACGCCTTGTTTTGGAGTAATTTTTGGCTCCAAGCACGATTTAGAAAGGCCAGACAAAGAAAAACGCACTTAAAGAGACCACGCACAAAGAAACGCACTGTTTTGGAGTAATTTTTGGCCCCAAGCACGATTTAGCAAGGCCAGACAAAGAAAAACGTGCTGTTCCCGAGTAATTTTTGGCTCCAGGCATTTGGCTGGCCACGAGCACTCGAGGGTCCATTTTTTGATCCGGGTTTGACTGGGGCTTAGGGTGGCTTCAGAGAAGCAAGCCATTTAGCAAGGCCAGACAAGGAAAAACGCGCTGTTCCCGAGTAATTTTTGGCTCCAGGCATTTGGCTGGCCACGAGCACTCGAGGGTCCGTTTTTTGATCCGGGTTTGACTGGGCTTCATTTTTGGCTTCAACCACGATTTAGCAAGGCCAGACACAGAAAAACGCGCTGTTCCCGAGTAATTTTTGGCTCCAAGGCCTTTGGCTGGCCACGAGCACTCGAGGGTCCATTTTTTGATCCGGGTTTGACTGGGGCTTAGGGTGGCTTACCCTCTCCTGGGCTACCCCCACAAGAAAGCCAGAATTTTAGAAAATGAGGGGGTAATTTCCGCTATATAAAATCTATTTAAAATTAATTGGGAATCGAGCCATTTTTCCCGAATCCTGGGGTACCCCCCACGGAGCCTCCCTGGGACCTTCAAAAAAGCTTTCAGCCTCCTTCAGACCTTCGAAAGAGCTTCAGAGAGGCCACGCAAAGAGAAACGCATTGTTTTGGAGTAATTTTTGGCTTCATTTTTGGCTTCAACCACGATTTAGCAAGGCCAGACAAAGAAAAACGCGCTGTTCCCGAGTAATTTTTGGCTCCAAGGCCTTTGGCTGGCCACGAGCACTCGAGGGTCTATTTTCTGATCCGGGTTTGACAAGGCAGAGGGGAGCTCACCTTCTCCTGGGCTACTGACAAGAAGGCCAGAATTTTAGAAAATCAGGGGGTAATTTCCGCTATTTAAAATCTATTTAAAATTAACTAGGAATCGAGCCATTTTTCCCGAATCCTGGGGTACCCCTCACGGAGCCTCCTTGGGATCTCGAAAAAGCTTTCAGCCTCCTGAAAGAGCTTTTCAGACCTTCGAAAGAGCTTCAGACAAGCCACACAAAGAGAAACGCGCTTCCACCACGGTTTAGCAAGGCCAGACAAAGAAAAACGCGCTGTTCCCGAGTAATTTTTGGCTCCAAGGCCTTTGGCTGGCCACGAGCACTCGAGGGTCCATTTTCTGATCCGGGTTTGATGTCAGGGTTTTAGGGCGTTAAATAACTCTTGTATTAGTACTGACAGTACTGTCTATAGAAATATTAAAGAATATTTGTATACAGACATGCACTTACCTGTAAATGGCTGTAATTATATTCTATAATTACCATTTACCTCTAGGTAAGACTTAGAAGGTCATTTGTTTGCATTCCCGTCAAGGTGTGTTACGCTCCTGTACGTGAGAAGGCTTAGCTGAGCACTCAGGCTTAAGCTTAAGAGTTTAGGGTTTAGGGTTTAGGGTTTAGGGTTTAGGGTTTAGGGTTTAGGGTTTAGGGTTTAGGGTTTAGGGTTTAGGGTTTAGGGTTTAGGGTGTTTAGGGTTTAGGGTGTTTAGGGTTTAGGGTTTAGGGTTTAGGGTTGGGTGTAGCGGGGTGTCGGGTTTAGGGTTTAGGGTTTAGGGTTTAGAAGGGTTTAGGGTTTAGGGTTTTTTTTGGCACCCGACTAGCCACAGCAAAGCGGGGTTACATGGTCGGTCTCGGAAAAAGGCAAAAGGAAACCTCCTCCAGGGATCTGAGAGCACATTCCCTACCCGGAGGATTCTCGCCCAAGGCATTTAGGGTTTAGGGTTTAGGGTTTAGCAAGCCCGACGCTCGTTTGGGTGGCACGGGTCGGAGAGGGCTTTCAGGGGTTTGAGGCTTGGGCCTTAGGTACGGTTGAGGCTTCCGGGTACAAGAACACTCGGCCCTGCGCAGGTCCCCAACGTTGCGCGTGCACCTTGGACACAGACGGCGTGCACCTTGGAAGCGCGCGCGCGCGCGTGCACCTTGGAAGTGGCGCCCGTGTAGAGTTTCCAGACATTGAACGATTTGAAGAAATTGACGATAGGGCTATATCAGCTAATGTTTATGCCATTGACCCGAATGGAACAAATAACATAGTAGTTAATAGAATTACTAAAATTTGAAACCCTTCATATCAAGTTAATTTACCACTGCTAGAGGAGGAGAATAACAACCACTATGTTACCAAAAACACATTCATAAATTGATGGGAGCTCAAGCCAAGCACGTTTATGTGCAATGGCAACCCCTAGAGCTGACGTACGATTACAATTTGGAGATCCCCGGGCGGATAGTCCAAAAGCTCCGGTGCAGGAGGCCTCTGTTCCCAAAAGCACCAATTACGAATCTGAATATGTGCAAACCAATAAATACGAAGGAAAGGCGTTTCATTGTATGTATTGTCAGCACGGCTTTACAAATGAGAAGCTATTAAACAAATGATTGTTAATCAAGGGGTGTGTGGCACATGAGATTCAACAAGTAGTAATGCCAAAGGAGAACGAAAAAAAGAAAAATGTGTTTCCAAAACATTACCAGAAACTTAAGTGTCCTTATGGTTTATGGCGATTTGGAATCTTTAACAATACCTTCAAGTGATGGAATTAAGGGCGCATATCAACATCATGAATGCTCAATGCAGTTAATAGCATAACCAACGAAGGATCACCTTACTTATACAGAGGCGAAGATTGTATGGATAGATTTTGTTCAACGATTCATAAACGACAAGAAGAGATTATGGTCAAGATGAAGGAATAAGGAATTACAATAGACAGAGCAACAAGAACAACATTAACAAGGAAAACATTGAAAACATTGCTTTATATGCGATGCCAAATTCAACCCGAAAGACCCCGCGAAAACTAAAGTCGCTAAACAATGCCACTTTACAAGACAAGGATGTGAACATTCCCGCGTATCGTCTACGTCCGGATGTGGACTTTTGAGAAGAGCGACTTAGCGGCCTGTCGAACGGCCGTAGGGGCACTACAGTGGTTGGCTGTTCAATTCCAGCCCCAACTATGTGTTCGCCGCAACCTTCTCCTCACTGAGTTGGTCATGGAGTACAAGATGAGCACGGCGCGAGAGATTCAGGCCATGATTGGAGAAGTGAGGAGGGAGCCGTTAGATGTGAACAGCTGGCAGGATGTTGTCTTCATGTCGATGGACCAGGCGCACAACAACCGTCCCAAGGGTGATTCAACGGGACGATCACATTGGCGGCTGGGCCATCGTCGTTGACTGGAACCGTTTGCGCGATGATGCCACTCACCTGGCGGACATGAAACTTCGCCGGAAGGCCGTTGGGTCGAATGACGCTGCGGTTCAGTCGATCCTGGAGGCTGAGGACAACAACTTCAGAACCAGATATGTTGTGGTCCGAGCTACATGGTGCTGGAGGACGACATGAAGACCAACCACGCGGCTGGATCTAGTTGAACAGAGCAGCAGGCCTTGACAGTTCGAGGAGCTCTGTGTTCGGAATCCCGTGGCGGCTATGATGCTGTGGAAATCAACGAGAGTCCCCTCCTTGGACTCAGCAACATCAGGGCTGCTCTTCAAGCCTTTCAGCTTCGTGACAACCTGGCCCGCTGTGGATGCCGGTTGAGATGGCTGGCTTCGGACTATGATCTTGCCGATGCCCTCGCGAAGGAATGTGAAGAAGCTCGCCCTGGATTGGTCAAGCTGTTACGCACCGGATTGTGGAGCATAAAGTCGATCCGAGTTTGACTTCTGCCAAGAAAAAGCGCTCTCGACGCTGCTGATCATTTCATAAGTGGAAACCCTCTGTAACATGTGCACTGCCGAACCTTTTTGGGGGTGATGCAGCTTCCGAGGTCTTTGTACAGTCAGCACTGGTGCTGCCATTCCGGCTACTGAAGGGGGCCCCCTTCTTCGTGTAGCAAAGAGTTGAGCCATACGGACAGAGCTTTGCGCTCTACCTATGAAACAGAGCTGTGTGCCTCTTCTTGCTGTTGGGCGTGCGAGTTCGGTGACTTAACCTTGAACCCCATCGAGCCCCTTGAACGCTACCGTGCAGCCCCGCTGCATATTGATATTGAATCGTCCTTCTTCCCATCGCTATTGATCAAGCTCAAATTGGTGGCAACCTTTCGTCCTGTTCCCATCTTTGCTAATCAAGCACAAACTGGCGACGGTATCAAATCGTGCTTCGTCCCCTCGTTGTCAACCAAGCTTAAATTGATGGCAACAAATCGTACTTCTTCCCATCCTTGACAATCAAGCATAAATTGAAGGCTACAAAGCGCACTTCTTCCCATCTTTGACAATCAAACCAACAAATTGTATTCCTTTCCATTGCCTTTATGGTGCTGGGTATTCTGGGGCCTCACAGAAAGCTCAAAATTCGCTGGTGAGCTCTGCTGCAGAAGACAAGCTGCTCCAGGGGTTAGGGCCTGCGATTTAGGGTTTCACAGCGAAGGACGATAGTCAACGTGGTAAACACTTCAACTGCACGATACGGTAACACAGCACTAGCGTTGTTCATAGCATAGCAAGCTCACTAATCCGAGCACCTGTTTAATTAAACCCCCCATATTTAAAGAATTTTTTTTTCTCCGGAAGCCCGCCGGAAGACTTTTTCCAACGCGAAAGCTGCAGGTTAGCAGCCGTCAGCACCGACATGTCTCAAAGCAGTAAGGGAAAGCGAAGAAAAAGATATAAAAATAAACTATAACATGCTCTCAATGGGAATTGTTTTTGACTGGTTTATTCAGAAGGAGCTGCCACTGTTTTCTATCCGTTGCTACTGGAGCCACTGTTCTATATAGGCGGGTCGTATCCAAGTGCACCATAGAGGTGCTACCATGTGCCGAAATGACTTCATGTGCATTAGGGATACGAAAGTAAGCCCGCCGGAAGACTACTTTCCATTACGGTGGATTTCGTATGGGCATAACCCCCCACATTTAAAGAGTTTTTTTTTTGGGGGGGGGTTCAAAAATCTGTCGGCAGGCTTCTTGTTTTGCTCGCATCTCCCTATTGTTTTTAATAGAGAATCAACGCAGGGCCATGGTCCAATTATTGCGGAACCTTGCCTTCCTTATTTTTTTGAGTGAGTGAGTGAGTGAGTGAGTGCTGGCACCTGCTCGAAGCAGTGCCTTGCCTAAGGCGCCATCCCTCCCGGCATCGCAGGGGCTCCGTAACCGTCATAGCCCCTCCGCTTGGAGTTCAGACTGGCAGAGCGCCCCGGGAGCGCCCGGCCAAGGGACAGGGCAGCAGCATCTCGGGCGACGCCACACGGGTGGTCCAGGGATTGTCGCAAAACCCAGCAGCCACCGTGGAAGGAAATAGGAAGGAAGAAAAGGAGCAAAAAAAAAAAAAAAAAAAAGGCCGCTCTGGTAGGCAGCAGCGTGGTTGCGTTCCAGGTCCGTGAGGCCTGCAGGGTCAGGAGTGGAAGCGAACGGAGCATTGCCTTGCACGCTTGGAAAAGGGCAGGCAGGCATCACACATTTTAGTCCACACGCCAGACCGCCGGGGGCGTCTTACTGACTTCGCAGAACCACCACTGTATGTGGTAGAGCTCCAGGTCAGGCGCCCCGTGAATGGTAGGGCTTCGGACACCCAGGATGCTACGCTGCCAAACTCGGCGACAGCACCCGAGGATTCGCCGGCCCCAAGCCAGGCAGATCTGCTGCTCCAGGGCCGTGCCCTCCGCAAGGCCCAGAGCGCGGCGTAGGCCACGGGTCGCCCCAGTAGCGCCCCACACGCAGAACAGATTTCTGTCTGCCGGGAGGTGGGTGGCAATGCCGGCCCGACGCATATCGTACGCCAGGATGTTGCTCCAGAATTCGGCAAAGCCAGGGATTTGGCTTATGGTGCCAAGGAGCGGCTTCCAGTTGGCGTCTGCGGCTGCGGTCAGCACCTCACGCCGCATCTTCCAGAGGCTCTGCACAGGGTCCAATAGACACTTCTCCAGGGTGCCCCGGATGCTGCGGCGGTCCTGTCGAGCCCGCGCCGTCCGCATCTGGTTCCTCACCGCCACGTGGTGGTCGGTGCCGTCCAGCGGGTCTCCTTCCGTGTCCGAGTAGAGAAGCAGGCCTTCCAGCAGGCGGCTTCTGTCCCAGCAGTGCCACCAGCCCAAGTAGCGGTAAGCAGCATCCGACACCCGGCGCCGAAGCGCCAGGTTGAGTAGGACTGCAGTTGCCGGGCAACCTCGCGGCCGTTGCTCTTCAAAGGCATCGCCAGCAGGCCAAGCGAGTGAGGGGGGTGGGGCAGCCGGGGTTAGGGGGTGCGCAGAGCCTTGCGCAAGGGCCTGAAGGAGGACAGCAGAGATTGCGCGGTGGCAGCGGGCCTCCTGCACCTGAGGCACAGCGCGACAGGCGTTTCTGCTTCTAGCCGCGCGAGCCTCCCCGGGGCCACTGCCCGGGGCTGGACCGCCATGCATTTCGCACCAGACGCAGGCGGATCTCGCTGAGCCTGGTTGGGCACCCAGGAACGCAGCAGAGGCGCCTTTGGCGTCGGACTCTCATGTGAGGATTGCCCGCACGCAGGGCACGTCCGTGTGCTGCGCAGGTGCGCAGGCCGGCCCGAATGCGGGCGTTGCTCAGCCTGACCCCGCAGCCCTGCCTACGGCAGTACTGAACCATACCTAGGCAGGCAGAGTATTTTTGGTACGAGCAAGATATCTGCGGACAGAGTTTGCGTACATGCTAGGACGGCGTTAATGCGCGTAGGTTCCAAGTCAGCAGAAATAGGACACTACGCTGTCAGGTGCTATCCCCGCATCTGCGTAAGCAACCTGCGCCCACAATGCGTAAGCCAAGCGCCGGGGGGGGAAGAAAAAAAAAAAAAAAAGGAACCTGCGCCCAGGAGCGCAACAGCGTAAACAACCTGCGTCCCACCCCCCAACCCAAAAGAAAAAAGAAAAGGAAAGAGAAAAAACCAAAAAAAAAAAAAAAAGGAAGAAGAAGACAAGAAAGGGCTGCCTATGCACATCAGCGTGGCGCCGGCCCGAAGCTCGCAGTGGCCATCACCTGCCAGAGCATACGCAGTTGCAGGTCCAACGCGTCTGTGCACATCAGCTACGGCACATACAAGTGCCGCGAGGAAGGGCAAGCTGCAGGCAAAGGAGCCTTTTGATTTTCCTACACAGCCAGTCGGTAGCATGAGGGGTCACCCACGACCAGCTGCTCGCGTAGGAGAAGGTTCAACGCCCGGTCCAGGAGATCCGCAGTTGCGTGTCCATCCTGCGCCAGGGCCTCGCCAGCCGACTGCAGGTGTTGGCAGAAGGCTTCCGTCAAGGCCACCAGGGATAAGTTACCGGATGAAGTTATGCGTCGAAGAGCCCACCTTCGGGCACGTCGGAGGCCAAAGGGCGCATGTTGCACCCGCGGCCGGGACATTGCAGCCCCTGCCCCAGGGCAGCAGCGCTCCGCTGCACGTTCCAGGAATGAATGAAGGTCTTGGTTTGGCACTTGGATGGGGCCCCGTCGCGGGCTGGCAGCGACTTGGCACGAGAGGGCCCACAAGCAGTCCGGGCACAGCCAAAGGGGAGTGTCCATCACTGCTCTGTACGCCTGATGCGCTCCCTGGCCCCACAGCAAACATTGTCCCCGGAAGTGCAAAGCCCGTTTGCAGGAACGGCAAGCTTCTTCACCTGCAACGTGACGGCGGCACCACCGGCAGGGCAGGATAGCCTGCCCCGGGTCACCGAGCGCAACGCGGCCACAATCCCAGCAGAACGCCATGATGTCCACCTGGCGGCAAACACAGGGGCCTGCTTGAAGGATACGGAGGAGGTCCGGGAAGTGTGGGCACTGGGGCCCCCAGCCCAGTATGTCGTGTTCTCGGGCGCTCACCCCGCGGCTGTGTAAGGCCTCCAGGATGGTTGCTTCCCCGGGAAGCCGGCCCGGCATTTCCGCCCGGACACGAGCAACTGCAGCGCTAGGCTGCAAGGCCTGCCAGCGCAGCTGCCGCACAGTGGGTTCACCGCGCCCATCCAACCACTCGGCCAGAAGGTGGGCGCCCCTCCGCGGTTCCAGGGCCTGCACCTCCAGAGCCTCTGGGGCCTCATCGCGCTCCAGCGCTGGGAGCTGCAACTGCATGAGGTCCAGACAGGCGCGCGCACGCTGAAGATACTCAGCGCGCACTCGTCGCAGTCCCAGGAAGACCAGGCTGGAGATTCGAAGGGGAAGGCGGATGCTACGAGCTACAGAGGCACGGGTCGCAGCCTCAGCATGCGCTCCGCGCAGTTGCCGAAGCACAGCATACTCCTCCACGTCGTGCAGAGGTTCTTCCCCACGGGGCCCTCGAAGGAAGAGCCCACCGCCAATGGCCCGGAGACACCGATGTACAAAACCAGAAATGTCCACCGTCTCTGTGTCTGTGGGTAATGCCAAGGAGCGCCAACGCGGCTCCACTCGCACAGCTGTGTACAGCCGAGGATGAAGGCACGGCAGGTAGACAGCGTTCCCTAGTCGAGCCAGCTTACCTTGTACCGGCCTGTTGCGCCATTGGTGGGCAGCCTCTTCGCGCAGGAGGCCACGGACCGCCTCACGTACAGGTGAGGTGACGGCACGGCCTTGAAAGCTTGCGAAGGCAAAGAGACCACCAGTCGGGACAAAGACGTCTTCCGGCCTGTGGAGTGCACGCGCCCTGCGGCAACCAGCGTCCTGAGCTGCGTTACCTTGCGCCACCACTGGGTACGGCTTCAAATCCTGCTGTTGGTGGCTTTTTATGTCCACGCCGACGAGGCCCGCAGCACAGAAGGCGACCCGGCACAGAGTGACCGTACGGCCCTGTTGGGTTCCGCGCTGCAGCCAGGTCTCGGGGTTTTCCGTCATATCCACTCGCCAGGACGGCGGATGTTGGCTAGACACCCAGGCTGCCTCCAGGTCCTTCCAGATGTGCAGAAGAGTGGACTCCAGGTAATGATGACGCCAGTCCTGGTGGGCTCCCTCGCTAGCGCGACGGAGTGCCGAAAAGAGGGCGCTACGGTCGCAGACCAGCAAGTTCCATTGCCCGCGGCGTCGACGGCGCAAGGCCACAAGCATACCCAACAGCTCCGCTGCGTGAATACCCGCAGCCTCGTGACCGTACCGACCGGGAAGCCTCCCGCAATGCCGGTGCCCAGACGCGGCACTGAAATCCCAGTAGCAACCAGGAGGGCCAAAAGAACGAGCTTGGGCGCTGAAGGTGCAGGTTTCGTGGTCTTGTCCGCCATCGCTGTACAAGCCAACATCACCCTCTAGGCCATCAGGAACAGGGGCGGCGAGAAGACGCACCCGCGATGTTACCATCATAGGACATTCCCATGAGCGCGCAGGCCAGTCCTCTCGTTCCTCACCCCTCTCACGGACTCCAAAAAGGCGTCGTTCCGTCTCCCAGTCTGCACTTGACTGCGCAAGGGCCTGGGCGGCGGCAGTTGCACATTCAGCAGCTGTGACCGGGGCCGCGCCATCCAGGACGTCAGTCCATACCAGCTCCTCGCCCCAGCGCCCGCGTGGGATTGCGAGGCGCTCCATTTCCACAACAGCAGCTCGTACCGAGTTGGCAAGCGGGCCGACCCGGCAGAAGGAAGCTGCCGAGCGGGCCTGCGCAGGCTGGTACGCGCCCACCATGCACAGTTGCCCACCTCCGCGGGCCTGGCGAAGGTTGTCCAGGATGCGGCCAACGGTCCGATCAGTTCCAACGTTGATATAGAGTCCATACTGGGACAGGAAGTGGAAGGCCCGAGACACCAGACCGTATGTCTCAACGCTAAGGTCAGCCGCAGGACGCAGAAGGGCCTCACGGAGGCTGTCCCTGGCGATCTGGGCCGCAAGGCCATTCCCATTAAGTAACGCGAGGACGTCGTGCGCCACCGCAGAAACCACACTCTCCACAATCGAGGGGAGTTGCAACCCACCGACATTGGCCGAGGCCAGCAGGCTTACCCGCTCGGCAGTGCACCTCGTTCCCAGACGAGCCAGGATCAGGCGCTGGAAGGCAGCGTCCTCTTCATGCAGACCGAGAGGCGATGGGATGCCAATGAGGGCAGAGTACGAGAGAAAGCCACGGACCTTGAGTTGGTATATCATGGCCGCCTCGTCCCATGTGCATCCCCGCGCTTGAACATCCATGCGGGTGGTACGGAGCCTGCGCAACAGATCAGCAGCTGCAGCGGCGTGCCGGTCGTTGTAAGACACAATCTTGCCAAGCAATACTTCCTCGGACGTGGGAAATGACCTGGGGAGCGTCTGTGTTATTAAGCCCCCTTCCCAAATGTCCCAGCCAGTGGCAGCTATACCATCATAGGTCATGTCCTCCGGCGCATGCCGGGCAAGATGCTCTTCCCAATCAGTTGCAAGTGCAGAGAATTTTCCCCATGAGAAGCCAATGCCAGTGCCTCGGCTACCGAGAGACAGCTCACCCAGGACGGGAGAAAGGTCTGCGGCCCCGCGCCCGTAGTGCTCAGAGTCGTCTACGTAGCCCGTGGTGGCTACCCGACGACCACCCACGGTAGTGTAGGCCGCAGGGCTGGCTTCACGGAGTCTCAAAATTGGATCCTGCGCTGCTTTGGATAGGTCTGGTGCAGAGACGGCCCCTTGCGGCAACCCCCTGGTCAGGGTGATGCGCGGCGAGGGGCCCCATCTCGTGTGCACCTGGACTCCAAATTTGTCAAAGGCCGACATGAAAAACCACCTCACATCGGGGGGGACGCCGCGAGCCTGCATGACCGCATCAGCACCCTGGATCGACACAGCGTTGAAGAATTTCTCGTAGTCAGCGGGAATCCTGCAGATGCTCCGAGAATGGGCCACCGAATCCTCAACTACCAGGGTGTCCAGAGCCAGCACCTCCACGGCCGCGCTCACACCTGGCTCAAAGGCCCGATTGGTGCTACTATAGACGCTGCCGGGAGGCAACGACATGCGCGCACGGGCGAAACGCCGCGTGACTGGGCCCTCCACGCACTTAAAGCATTCTTCCAGCATAGTCAGCGGCCTCCACCCCGCCTTGGGCTTCGCAACGTTGATTTGGAGGCCAGTCCGTAGGCAATCCACCACCATGGCACATGCCCGTTGGACGTCCAGGGAGCGCCAGTACACCTCTTGGGCCCAGTCCGGGAACAGGTCCACCCCGAGGGTCCTGGCCGCGAGCGCCGCCCACGCCTTTTCAGAGCGTGCCGCTCCGCCATGTCCAGCGGGCGCAGCATATCGGGCACTTGGAGGAGTGGAGGGTGGCGCAAGACCAAGAACATAGTGCTGCGTGTATCTTGCCTACTGGCGTGGTGCCACCGTTCGGCATCCCATTCCGTAGATGGGGCTCCACCAACAGTGAAAAGGACATAGTCCTCACCCGGGCAAGGAGCCGGACGGCAGGCCAGCCAGCAGCCGTCTGGCCCATGACGCAGTCGCAGACCGGCCACACAGACCTCCCGGTGACCTCCCCTGCCGTCACAAAGCATATGTCAGCGGACCGCCAATCCAAAAGCAGGAAGGGGCCGGGCTGAAGGTAAGCCACACCAAGCCGGCGAAGGTCACTACCCGGCGGCGCGTCCGAAATTTTGCGCAGGTTAGGCGACCCCCGGCGTTGGCCCATGCCATCCACCCAGCAGCGGAGCACCTCATGCGACCAACCGGGTTCAGGTCCACCATGCAGACGCCGCCACTCCTGAGCGGCGCCCAGCCTGGCTTGTTCCGCTGTAGATGGAGCCACAGAGCGTCCATCCTGCAGAACACAGAGGCTAGGAGCGTACTCCATGCGGGACCCGCGGCTGGGAGGAAATGGTGGCAATACTTTCTTAGGTCATGCTGTCGCAGCGCAGCTACGCGAGTCTGGCGTCGCTCTGCGGCGCCATGCCTCCAGACTGAGGAGCGATGCTGCTTGGCTGAGGCTTTCCATGCCAGGGAGGCTTCAAGCTGCTGCGCCGCCGCGGGCCGATCCCGAGGCAGCACAAGTGGCAAGGCAGGTTCTGCCAGAGGTCTGGCTGTCACATCAGGGGGGGCCTGAGGAGGGCCCTTCCAGGCGGACGCCGCCGCCTCGGTGTAGCCCCGTGGTTGAGCCCAGGCCAAAGGCCCTGACCGAAAACCGTCCCAATCCGCACAATCAAAGGAACCCTCCACCTCAGGAGCGGGTTGGGACCGGAGCCAGCGCAGTAGGGCCACAGCCTGCCCCCAGGCAGTTTGCAGTTGATCTAGCGTCGCCGCTTGGGGCGGCGGGGCAAGTCCGCGGTTGAAAGCAGTGAGCTCCTGTCGATACTCCCGAAGAGCGAATAAGACCGTATCCCACGCACCACTCGCTCGATGATGCCGCCGTGCATGCGCAGGTGGGGGCACCGAAGGGAGGCAGTCCAGGAGTATCTGTCGAATCCGGATATGGCACTCATTTAGCCGCGCTTGCAGGTCCAGCGATCGTCGGTCCTCCAGCCGCGACTCAGGCAGTATCCCCTCTAATAACCCGCACCACAGGTTTGAGTGGGATGCACATCGGGCTCCGGAAGGGGATCGCCCACATGCCACGCTCACGTCTTCAACCTCCTGTAGCAGCTGCTGCAATTCTAGGCGGTGTGGCTCCAAAGTAACCTCCACCGCTTGCTTTGACCAATCACCTTGCGTGTCCAGGCAGCGGAGGATATTTTTCCAACCAGAGCCGTCCTCGATGTCCTCATCCAGTACCACAGCGAGCGGCCACGAGAAGTCAGCTATGACCGGGTCATGATCGACCCGACGTGGCCACTGCCAGACGACAGCAGCGTTACGCAGTTTGACATCTGAGTCCACCGGCGCCCGCCAGAAGATCCCATCCAGGCGCGTGGCTCCACCAGAGGTAGAAAAGAAAGTGTATGCCGGTATGTATGGGTGGAGGGAACGAAAAGTATCCACCAAGCCACAGTTACACAACGTTGAGCAGAGGCTGTCAGCACGGGGACGGGTTTCCCCTTGCCAGCAGTCCATGGCAGGGTCAGCGACAGAGTTAATGTCTCCAGCAGCAACCAGTAAGGCTCCCCGTCCCAGGGCCAAGCGGGACTGGTCGATCACAAAATCGTTGAGTTCCCGCTCCTGCCGAAGGGCGGCCTCACGGTTCTCGAATCCTGGGAGACAGGCACCCGTTACCCCGTACAGCGCAATAACCCGGAGCTCTGCTCCATCTGCCAATGTCAAGGACGCCGCAACGGCACGCCCGTGCGGGCCCCTGGCCACATCTGCCCAACCCGAGGCGTGTCCACGCCGCACCGCCAGCACAATGCCGCTGGCCCGTGGGTCTGAGGCCGTGGGCTCCACGTCTCGGCTGTGTCTACCCACGTTTGGCGGAGGGACATTATGGCTAATTGCAGTGTACCCTCCCTCGAGAAGGCCACGCGTGGCAGCTGCATGAGCTGCCTCTCCTGCAGTCCGAGTCTCAGATAGAATTCCCACATCCGCGCCCAGGTCGCACAAGCACGAGGCCCACCAGCGACCCCACGGGTAGCGGTCACCGCCGGTCCCTGCCGTTTGCAGAGCCACGATGCGTAGGGAGTCCTCGGCCTTCCACGAAACGTCGTCCCCTAGGCAGCGGCCTCGGAAACGAGGCAGGTCGCACCGGGAGCCAACGGTCCATTCATGACGCGGCGTCACCGTCTCCTCGTCCGGATCCCCAAGGATGGAGGGGGCTTCATCCGAAGAGGAGGACATGGCGTAGGACAGGAAAGGCTTTTGCCGCACTGAGCAGCCACACTTGTTTAACAATGCGGGTTACGGCGCGGATACCCAAGCCATACGGGGGCGGACACACAAGGTCTACCCCCAGAACCAAGTCATCGTAAATCCGGGCATACAACAAGTTGAGAAAACACAAAAAAATAAGACACGCACAAACACACACTCATGATACGGCCTTGGAGCAAGCGCTGCGGCACGCAAGCATCGGCGACGGTGGAGGCAACATGTCCGCAAAGCAGTCGAGCAATCTCTACTCACAGCTGCTTTCCCTCTCTCGATGGATGCTGGAGGCCATGCGTGCCACATACAGGGCACGTGTCTCACTGTGGGAGGAAAGACGGAGAAAGAAAGGAGGAGCGGCAGACTTGTTCAAGCCCGCTTCAGATCCCCTGCGAGGCCACCGGCGGCAGTGTCAAAAGGTCAACGTTGCACTGCGGGCACCGTGCACGTGTGGCATCTGGCGCTGCCAGTTCGGTACGCCACCAGCGGTTTGCACAGTCATTGTGGAAGACATGAAGGCAGGCAAGTCGCTGCAAGCGCTGCCCGATGACCATTCTGCCGCTACAGATACCGCACTCAGACCCATCCTCAGTACTCACGAAGACCACACACTTGTCCAGCATCCGAGGATCCATCGTCACCGCCTCGCCTCCAGAAGCCCCGCCAGAACCATCCGCGGTCGAAGTTGGGAGGGGCGTGGCCGGAGCAACCTCACCTCCACCCGTCGGCACGCTGGCCGTGGGCTGGGTTACTGGCTGTCTCGCGCGGTCTCCATTAACTGCGCCAGGCCCAGTCCCTCGCCCACCAGCTCCACCTCTACCACGACCGCGAGACCCACGACCAGTGTCACCTCTACCACGACCACGACCATTCAACCCACGACCAGTAGCGGGAAGCCGGCGCCTGTTGGCGATTTCAAGCCGGACTGGCCCACTGGGGGTGGGCAGGAGGCACTGGCCACGATCCTGGCGCAGGCTTGCCGTGAGTTCGTCCCAAACCCCAGCAGTGGAATTGGGCTGCCCAAAGAAACTCCTCGAAGTGCCCCAAAGGTAGGAGAGTGTCCCGCAAGGGACGATAGTATGCCTCGCATAGCCGCTCCGTTCATCCTGTGGGGTAACCCCCCCACAAACAAGCCAGCCGGCGGCTCCGAGACCGGCAAGGCTCGAGGGATAGCAGGGGCGGGGGAGGCTTCAGGGGTGGGGCGAGGAGGCTGCGTCTCCAACCTGTCACGGCGTGGGACTTCTGTTGGGGCACTGCGTCCTGGAGGGGGAGGAAGAGGTGCAGAACGGGGGCGTAGGTCTCGAGGACCTTCACGGCCAGCGCGGCCTCGACTGCGACCTCTACTGTCGCGACGAGGGCCATGGCGTCGCGTCCTGCGAGATGAGCGGGAGCGGCTGCGGGTGCGGCGTCTGCGGCGACGGTGCCCAGCGGCATCACGACCGCGCCCTTCATCACCGCGTCGAGTGTCATCCCTACGCCTAAGGCCATGCCTGCTAGCAAGCGGCTGACGGGCGCGCGGCCCAGCCTCCATCTGCAGTTCCGAGTTCACAGGGTCTTCAGCTGCCAACGCTGTGTTAGCATCCCCAGACCAGGCAGCAGCCTGAGAAAGTGTAGGCCTCGGCGCAGCTGTCGCTGACCAGGCGTGCGAGGCAGCAGCCTGAGGAGGGGAGGCGTCGACCTGACTGGCAGCCTGGTTGGCAGCCGCCTGGGTGGCAGCAGCCTGGGTGGCAGCAGCCTGGCAGGCCGCGGCCTGACTGGCAGCCTGGTTGGCAGCCGCCTGGGTGGCAGCAGCCTGGGTGGCAGCAGCCTGGGAGGCCGCGGCGTGGGAGGCAGCCTGCGTGGCAGCAGCCTGGGCAGCAGCAGCCTGAGCTGCAAATGCCGTAAAAGCAGCTGTGGCAGCAGCCGGCTCATGGGAGCCTCGGATAGCAGCTGCAGCAGCGGCAGCTCGGAAGGCACCCTTAAGGATCTGCCCGTGCATATTCCTTGGGCTGTCGCAACCTGAGGCGGGGAGGAAAGGAGGGCGGATGTGTTCATCCACTCAGGGCTTCCAGCTGGCAGCATTGGTTCATACACGGGATTGTGGACGCTTCCAACTCCGTACCATGGCAGGTTCCCGCACCCAAACCACGGCTGCAGTCCTGGGCCAGGCAGACTTGTTTGGGGCGTGGCACCACCAAGGGCTTGCTCAGCAAGGCTGAGGGAGACCCGTAGAGCACGCATAGCTTCCGGGTTCATCCCGAGGCTATTAGGCAGACGCACCAGATGTATGAGCTGTCTGGGCTCGAGCGAGGCTGCTGGTCACGCACAATCACACCGCATCACAGTTGCTAAATTACGCATGTGCGCCATGCACTCATTGGAGAAAGTGAGCAACAGAAGTCATCCCGCCTAGGGCAACGCCCAGTCTTCATCGTTGCGGGGGCTCCCAAGCCTCCCGTGAGGACTTGTCCTCACATGGCCCGTGGGTGCTCATATTATGCGGCGTCATCTGGGGCCACCCAAGCCCGTGACGCAAGTGTGTATCACAAATAAAAAAAAACAAAGCATCGCAAAAGGGAGCAGCGCGTAAGGGTTTGCCCGAAGCACTTAAAGAAATGCTTGCTGCGACACACAGTCTCCCACTGTTGTGGCCATCTATGGCCCTGTCCCCGCTGCACGATCCAAAGAGCCTGGAGCCTGAAGGAATGGCCTTAGCCCGAAAGAAACGACCCCTGACGGGGGGGAGAGGAGAGAAAGGGGGCCGCAAGGGCAGCGCCCCCCCAAAAGGCCTGGAGCCTGAACGGAAAACCCCGGCCTGAAGGAACGACCCCTGACGGGGAGGAGAGGAGGGAGGGACCGCAGCGGGGACCTACACAGAGCTGCCCACAGAGCTGCAAAAGCACTGTTCCGCTCTCTGATTATTTTGTTTGTTTGTCTTTTGTATATCCCTACCTGAGACAAACGCAATGTGTCCCTCACCATGCAACACCAAGATGCGCCCTTTTCCAGCGAACCCGCTTGAGAATGCTGCGCTTGTCAGCCATATGCGGTTGTCATCTGTTGGCTTTATGGCATGAGATGCTGCGCTCTTTCATCGTTGCGGGGACTCCAAAGCCTCCCGTGAGAACTTGTCCTCACATGGCCCGTGGGTGCTCATATTATGCAGCGTCATATGGGGCCACCCAAACCCGTGATGCAAGTGTATATCCCAAAGAAAAAAATAATAAAAAATAAAAAAAAAAATTCGCAAAAGGACCATCTACGGCCCTGTCCCCGCTGCACGGTCCAAAGAGCCTGGAGCCTGAAGGAATGGCCTTAGCCCGAAAGAAACGACCCCTGACGGGGAGGAGAGGAGAGAAAGGGGGCCGCAAGGGCAGCGCCCCCCCAAAAGGGCCTGGAACCTGAAAGGAAAACCCCGGCCTGAAGGAGTGACCCCTGACGGGGAGGAGAGGAGGGAGGGACCGCAGCGGGGACCTGCCCACAGAGCTGCAAAAGCACTGTTCCGCTCTCTGATTTTTTTTTTTTGGTCTTTAATTTTCCCTACCTGAGACAAACGCAATGTGTCCCCCACCAAGCAACACCAAAATGCGCTCTTTTCCAGCGAACCCGCTTGAGAATGCTGCTCTTGTCAGCCCTACGCAGTTGTCAACTGTAGGCTTTATGACATGAGATGCTGCGCTCTTTCATCGTTGCGGGGACTCCAAAGCCTCCCAAGCCTCCCGTGAGGACTTGTCCTCACATGGTCCGGCGATGCCCTACCCTGGAAGTGCGCCTTATTACTTCTGAGCGCAGCGCGCTTCAAGCACAAGAGACGTTCTCTTCTTGTGAAAGCGGCAGCTGCTCAACTCTGAGGGCGGGGCGGAGCAGGGGCGTACCACAAGGGGAGTGCAGTACATGACGATATTTGCGTGCTCACAACTTTCAGAACGGGCAAGCGTGCCTTGTTTGACTGTCAGCAGACAGCTCAATGGGAAGAAAAGGGGGGGGGAGGGGGGGACAGAAATGTCCACTCAGCGCCCTGCAAAGCTCTGCCCTAGAAGTGCACCTTCCTTGCTGCTGAGCGGCGCTCTTCAATCCCTCAAGGCAATCCCTGCTCTGACAGCAGCAAGCGGTCAGATCAACAGAAGGGACGTGTAAATAAAAAAATACACAACAAGCCCCACCGTCCCCTGCAGATCAAGCACGAAGGACCTTGCAAAAATTCGCGAAACTGCGCTTGCAAATATCTCAGGGCGTAGCAGCGCAAGTGCATGCCACAGGAGATAAAAAAAAAAATCACGACTGTCAGCAGCATCACAGCGAGGTATCAGGGCAGCGCAGCGCGGGGGAAAAGCGGGGGGAGAGCGGGGAGGGAAGGGGGGAGGGGGAGGAGGGAAAGGCGTGTGTGGGTTGGTCTACTCCTGGCGCGCCAGCAATCACTCGCGGCCAGCTCGAGTGACAGTACCCCTGAGCCTACTACCAACAGGTAGCCCCACACGCAGCTCGGGGTCCTTTTTTTTTTTTTTTTTTTGGGGGGGGGGGGGGGGCCTCCCAATTAAACAGGTGCTCGGATTAATTGTAAAGGTGATGATCGTTCAAGTAGTAGGCATAAAAAATCATCCTAACAATGATAACTGATAACCAAGTACTTGAGCAACAGCTGACCAAAAACATTCACGACATCCCGCCGGCGCTGCCCGATTTTGCTCAGCCGCCGTAAGAAGTCTTCTTCGACAAGCTGGGAAAATCACGACGCTCTTTTGGGCGTACGCTTTGGGTTTAGAAGGAGTCCAAGTAGACTCAATCTCGTGCCGTCGTGCCAGTGTGGAGTCGCTATGTCCAGGCACGAGAGATAGGCTAGGTTTAAGTAAAACACAGGTGAAACCCTGATCCCGGGCCCAACCGCCGATCTTACGATCCCGAGGCAGAGCTACCTCACATGACTCCACACTCCGCCTAGTTGGCGACGAAGTTTGCCCTCACAGTTTCGTGAGGATTCTGCTAAAAACTACAGC